AGAGCTTGCTCAAATTCATGTCCATTGAATCGATGATGCCATCCAACCATCTCATCCTCTGTTGCCCTCTTCTTCTCCTACCCTCAATCTTTGAAGGAAGGAAGAAGGGGGAAAAGACCAGTGAGTGGGCTGGGGACCCATTTTGGAAGCTTAAATGATTAAAATTCAACCATCTCATCCTCTGTCATCCCCTTCTCCTCCTGCCCTCAATCTTTCCCAGCATCAGGGTCTTTTCTAACAAGTAAGCTCTTTACATCAGGTGGCCAAAGTACTGGAGCTTCAGCTTTAGCCTCAGTCCTTCCAATGAATATTCAGGACTGATTTTCTGTAGGATTGACTGCTTTCATCTCCTTGCAATCCAAAGGACTCTGAAGAGTCTTCTCCAACACCACAGTTCAAAAGCATCAATTCTTTGGCACTCAGCCTTCTTTATGGTCTGTTAGGGGTCCTGGATTGATTCTGTACAGTAGGAAACTGTGAAATGCTGTGACCCACACCTTCCCCACCTCCATCCAATCCCTGCTGTCTTTCCCAGTTGTCCTGAAATATCCCTGATAGCTTCCCTGAGATCTCATCTCCAGGTTCACTCAGCACCAGGGCAGGCAGTCTCAGGAGCCAGAAGACAAACCCATTAAAGCAGATTATTGCCTCCCCTCCTGGCCTGAACTCTGGTTCCTTCCTAACAGCTTCTCTTCCTTTCCTTGATACAGAAGCAAAATTCATTGCTGGGCAGACCTTCTCTGCCTTCACTAGACATTTTGCTCCACATCCTTTATTCTAGAGTGCCCCTCTCTCATTCTAGGCTGGATCATTGTGATAACAGGGCTCCAATTTCCTGCAGGGAACCCACTCCATATGGTGCTGGTAGGGCTGACTCCCAGCCTCAGGCCTCAGCTCTGGCTCCTTGGAGAACCCCTGCCCTGCCCCCACTCACTGACAGGCTTGGAAATGAGCCTGTGCGCCCAGCCACACCCAATCAGAGAATTCCCAAGGCTTTGCTGCTGGCACTCTCAGAAAGCACTCTTTCTTGCTGAGGTGGCTAAGGAGGACGTGGTCTGGGGCTGTGGGAAATGAATCTATCAGCTAGCAACAATCTAAAGAATTGATCCAAACAAATACACAGAGGCAGAGGTGAACACAGGAGGGATACAGAGCCCTGACCACAACATTTAAGTCCCTATGCCTGAAGCAAGCTGCACACCTACACTGCCCAGATATATGAGTAATCTTTTTTTTCCCCTTAAGCCAGTTTGAGCTAGGTTTCTATTATCTGTAACTGAAGGAGTCCTTGACTATACATGTGTTTGTGTATTTAGTTATTTGCTGAACTATTCATGGAGTGCCTGTAGGTAGGCAGTGCCGGCAGAGAGAGGACTAAGTTATGTCTATCTCAAACAGCCTGAGTTCCAATAGGGAAATGCATAGAAATCACTAAAGTTCAGTACACGGTACTGTTTTAAGATACAGTGAGGACCAGCTGGTGGTACCTTAGAGACATGATAACGCGCTAAAGTGAACCCTGAACACTGACCTGAAGCTCCCCAGGTGGTCAGGGCCAGACAGGAGGTCATGTTTGGATTTTGTTTGTAGGTGATGAGAAAGGGTTTTGAGTAGAGAAGTAACATTGTTGCCATAGGTGGGCCAAACTTTGATTAACTGATCCATATGTAATGGTAAACTTGCTGAGGATGTTTGAATTTTAAAGGATGACATTTTAAAAGGGCAATGGTTTACTCAAAATAAGAGCTAATGGTGGAATTTCAGGCATCAGAGAGTTTTTTTTCTAGATTGTGTCCTCCTGGAGATGCTCAAAATACCCTGCTCCACCTGTGTGTGTGGACATACTGCTGGTTCTGGATATAGAATTGAGTCAGGCAGGGGTCAGCAAATTTCTTCTGTGATGGTCCAGATAGTGAACATTTTAGGCTTTGCAGGCCTTCCCATATCTGTCACAATGGCTCAGCTCTGCCTTTACCACAGGAAAGCAGCCAGGGACAGTGTATAAATGAATGAGCTGAGCTGTATTCCAATAGAACTTTATTTATGGACACTGGGAATTGAATTGAGTATAATTTTCAGGAATCACGTGATTTTTTTGGCCAACCATTCTTAGTTTCTAGATGATACAAAAACAAGCAGCAGAAGACTTGGCCCAGGGGCTGGTCAGTATAGACTGGTTTACAGAAACACTAACTCCATTCTCAAACACAGCAGCAGCAAAAATGGAAAACAATTGGGAACGGGTACATTAATTATGGCACATCTGTATAATGGAATAGCATACAGCCTTTCAAAAGAACCTGTACTAACATGGAAATAAGTCCATGTGGGTCACTGAATAAAGTATATTATATATTGGGAGTTATGTGACCTAATTTCTGTATTAATGCATGGTCCCATGGTCCCAGATCTAGTCACCTACCTCTCTCTCCATCTCCTATATTTCAGTGCAGGCCCTTCCTTCTCTGGCACTGAACCCCCAGGGGCTTGCTCCTAGACCCTCTCCTTAATTCTTTCTACTATTTTTTTTCCTAGATGATTTCATCCACTCCCATGGCTTTAAATATCATTTATATGCTGACAAATCCCAAATTTACCTCTCCAAGTCCACACCTCTTATCTGAACTCCAAAATTAAGCCCAACTGTCTCCTAAACATCTCTGTTCCAATGACTCACAGGCACCTCTCTCTTAACATGTCCCTCTTCAATCTTTTGATTCCTGCCCCAAACCTGTTCCTCCCCAGCCCTTCCCACTTCGTAAAGGCATCATCCTTCACCGCCTCTGATCAAGTCAGAACCCTTATTTCTCTTACCCTTACAGTTTATCACCAAGAACAGCCATCCCAAACACCCAAATATATCTCAGGGATCTGCAGACGACTACAGCCTCAGCCCCAAATTCAGCTCGCCACCAGCTTTTGTTCAGTTCACCAGTTAAGACAGGGTTTACCTTTTTACATGGTTAGAAAATTAAAAGAAGAATTCTTCATAACACATGAAAATCATATGAAATTCAAATTTCAATGTCTGTAAATCAAGTTTCATCAGCACACAGCCATCCTCCATTCATTTACATGTTATCTCTGACTGCTTTTCCATCACAGCGGTAGAACTGAGTAGTTGTAATAATCACAAAGCCTAAACAATTTACTTTCTGATCCTTTAGAGAAAAAGCTTGTCAACCCAATGTATTTCTACTCTCTCTATTCCCCTCTACCTTGGCTTCTCTCTCTGGTCTGCCAAGCTGCCATCATCTCTTGCCTGCATGGCTACAAAATGTACCTCTCCACTTTCTCTCTTGTCCCCCAACCCAGCTCTATACTCTCATCTAGACTTCTGCACAGCAACCAGGAAAACAGCTATAAAAACAAAAGGGCACCACATCATCACTTTCAATATCTATCTAATTAGCCTACAGGGCCTTGCCTGGTTCAGCCCTGCCCACCTCCCCATTCTCCCCTCATCAGAGCTCTTACAAGACCCTGTTCCCTTCCTCACAGGGTCTCTGCAAGCACAGTTCCTTCTTCCTGGATGACATCCTGAGGTTCACCTTGGCAGAAAAGCTGGGTTGGGGGTCTGCCACTCTATCGATGTCCCTGCTATGCATTGCTGTTTACCATGTGTCACACTGAGACCTCCCGGAGCAGGAACCATGTCTGCTTTATTTGTTAGATCCTTTATACTATTGGATCCTTAATTCTAGCTAAGGTTTGGCACATAATGAGTGTTCAAAGCACTGCTCAATGAATGAATGAATGCCTGTGTGTTTAGATAGAGAGAGAGATGGATGGATGAATGTTTGTATAGAAAAAGGGTCTGGAAGCATGATAGTGAACCCAACCATGGAGCATGGGGATGAAGGTAAGCATCTACTTCCACCTTCTAGTTACTCTGATACACTTCTGCTGCTTTGACAACAAGCATCTAATTCTTTTGTTCATTAACAAGTGAAAAAGGAAAACAGCAACATCGAAGATTTATGTTTAAGTGGGCTTTAGACCAGGCTCTATCACTCACTTGCTCCACCCCATTGCCTCTCAGGGTCTTCATCTCCCTAACCCTCAGAGGAAGGTTCTGGCCCCCTTCCTGTGCTACGGCCACCACCACATGCTGGGCTGGTGTAACACAAGAAGCCTGATGGACAGAGTGAGCCCTGGCATTTTAGAAGATGTCTCTGGAGTTGGAGACACAGCTTCAAATCCAGACTCGGCCACTTCCTAGACATGTGACTCTGGGAAAACATCCTCTCTGAGCCTCAGCTGGCTCATGTGTGAAACAGGAATCTAAACTCTGCCTTCATAAGATGATTATGGGATTCCACTGAGAAAAATTATCTAAAAAAACCTGACCTAATATTAATAGTATAGGTGTTCCACAACTGGGTGGGAGCCTGCAGAAAGAGTTTAGGGGATCTCCAGATTTGCCTAGGAACCCTAGGCAGGGTTTTTCCTGATAATGAGTTAGTTTGGGCCTTTTGTGTTCAAGGCTGTCCGCCGGGCACTGCTCCCCAGCCCCGTGATCCTACCCAAGAGAAGAAATCAATTCTTCCTCTCAAAGTGATTTCTGTGTGAGTCAAAACAGCAGTGTGTCATCAGTGCCAGCCCAGCAGAGTGGGGCCAAGGTTTTCTTGGCATCTGCGATCTGCTTCCCTTATGGATTTAGGAAGAACAAGGAAGAGGAAAAACAGGACAGAGCAGAGCCCCCAGCTTCCCCAAGCCAGACCATCCCCATGGAGGCCCCCTCTCCACACTGAAGTCAAGGCATGAGACACGGAGGAGGCGAATCCAGAGAGAAGGAAGACGGCTCAGTGGGTTCAAGAATATGGTGACTTTTGCCACAACAGCTGGCCTCCTTCTCACACCCTCTTCTGGCTAAGGAGCCACCACAAAATGAGTCTGCGTCTTCCAGAGTTCAACAGCCACTTGACAAGGCAGCGTGACACCAACTCAGAACTGGAAGTGTGTGCAGAGGCTACATACACACACACACACACACACACCCCATCAGAAACACGGAACCTTGAGAAAAGGTGACGGCTGCACTTAGCTCAGAAGAAGTCTGGCCAGAAGGCAGGAGTTGAAGGAGAGTAGAGAGAGGACGGGAAGGCATGAGACAACATAAGACCAAGTTGGAGGGCGGATCCCAGGTCCTGTTCTGGCAGGCCCGTGCCACACACATCTGCATTCACTCAACCTCTGCTGAGTCCTGCTGAGTGCCCACCCAGATGTGTCTGGAAATTTCATCCCTCCCAGAAACCTTTCTAGACTTCACTCATGGAAGGGCCCACTTGCTCCAGATGTGTTCTACCAAACACCCCCTGCCCTGACAGTCTTCAGGTTTCTACCCTGAAATAGGTTTGCCCTGGCAGAACAATGCTACAGACCCCTCTCCACCTAAGCACCAGCCCCTCTGGATCTCCAGGGGTTCCTCCTCCGGAGTATAGCAGGCTCCACCTAGCTTCAGAGCTGGAAGGCCTCTTGGAGCACCTGTTCAGTGCCCACTTCCATGCCCACCATACAGAGGGGAGTCTGAGCCTAGGGAACAGGGTGCAGACTGCCGAGGGGCCCATGCTCAGTCATCAGTCACATCAGAGGTGACTAAGAGCCAGCTTACAGGTGCCCCTGGGCCTCAATTCCTCACCTGTTAAACATCATCGGGCGCTCTTGCCTGCCTCACCATACAGCTGAGGCTCAGGTTCATCAGGCAAGCCTAGGTTCAGACTCTGACTCAAAAGGCCGGCTAGACACATGATTAAGTATAAATGACTTCACCTCTTTGAGATTTGATTCTATCTCATTAAAAAGGGGGAAACAATGCCTACCCCACAGAGCTGCTGTAAGGATAAAATAAGAGGACATACAGAAAGAATTTAAAGCACACAAACAGTGGTTACGGATCATGACTACTTTTGTTATTATTGCCATGCGCATGGGGAGAATGCCTCCTGAATCCTCTGCACTGAGCCTCCTCTGTCAGGCTATATGTACAGATCCCTAGGAACATTATTCTTTCTCTGACCCCCTCTGCACCTAGGACTCCACTAGCACCCCAGCTCCAAAGCAGCAAATCACAATTCGGCTCCATCTCTGTGTCTGGCTCATCCCTGTTGATCCTCTCCCCCTTCCTCCTCCAGGACACAGACCCCATGCTGCTACAACCCCTTTGTACAAGGCCTCCACACATTTCAGTATCTCTCCCATGGGAGGTCTAGTTCCTGGGGAGCCTACATTGACTTTAGGTTACCTGGAAGTCCTGCCTCCCAGAAGTAGTATCTCTCCCCGCTCCGAGGCTCCCCCCAAAAATGTTTCTCAATCCCCACTCCCAGCAGTTCCCTCCAACATTCCCTCCCTAAGTCTTGGGAAGACCAAAGGCCCAAAGGCATTAGGGGTGTGGAGGAAGCATCCATTCTTGGGAGAATGGGGGCAGCTGGCTGGAAGCACTGGTCAGAAGTGAGAGGGACTCCTGGAAGGCACTAGTGTGCTGAGGACCAGGCCTCTGGAACAGTAAGAACTCTTAACAGTGGTTCCAGCTGGGCTGCAAGGACACCCAGGTCAGGTCTGCCGTCTCCCCAGTTCCCCAGATGAATCCTCTCTGCCTTGCACACCTTACTAGGGACCCTTAGCACATCTTACCAGGTTCCAACTAAGTCTGCCTCCAGAGTGGCAGAAAGAGCCAGCTCCTGGAGGAGACAGCAACCCAGCCTCAGCATTTGCCAGCTGCATGTTTTTGGGCATGTGATTTCCCTTTTCCGGGCCTCAGTTTACCATATGTACAATGGAGCTAATGATTCCCTATCTCACAGGACAGCTATGATGATGAAATGAGACGATTTCTATTAAGCATCCAGCACAGCCCCACCCCCCAAAACCTGAACACCCACTGCTCCTATCTGGAACCTCATCCCGCAGGGGTGGCAGAACTGGGGGTGGCAGGCGAAAGTTACATAAAGCACATGTGGCCCTCTCTCAGATGTGTGATCCATTCTGGCCAACAAGACCAAAGGAAATTTCTCCAAGATCACCAGTTCCCACCCTCTGGCCCTCCTTTAGGCCCTGACTTTGCCTTCCCTCTTTTGCTGGCGGACCTCCCTGTCATTCCTGCCCTAGGGGTGTGGGAAATGGACAGCAGTGGAAGTGGCCGCCCACTCAAAGGATAAGCTCATGGGCAGTGACATCATCCTGCCTGCCCTTCTTCCTCCTCCCCTGACCCCATGACTCACAGCCACCACGCAGGCCCTGTGTGGTGGTCATCTCAGAGGTCGCTTGGACTTGGGTCATTTTTCCTCACATAGCACAAATCCAACCAAGCAGTGGCAAGCAACAGGCCAGACACTTGTTCGCCAATACTTTCTGAGTGCTGTGGCATCCCAGCTTCTGGCTCTGTGATCATACTCAGTCTCTGATCCTGAACAGGACTGCTCAGCTCAGCATCAAACCCAAATCCGACACCAAAGAATAAAGACTGATGACTCCAGAGCAGGTTAAAGTTTAAGGATAGAGGCATTGCCACAGGACCGTTCAAAAAATCAACTTCAGCAGAGTAAGGACACAGCCTCCACAGAAGGGACAACACTTCTACCACTGTCCTTTCCACAGACATTCCAGCTCCTTTCCCAGCTATCAGGTATCTGAGCATCTCAGTCAGCCAGGCAACCTGCTTCCATCAGGTGCCTCGGCAGAGGTGCAGAGGGCCAAGGACAGGAAGGAAAATCGGTCTTCAATTCCCAAAACCTGTTCTCATCCTCAGTCCTGTTTTAATGTAGGGTTCCCATCTCTTGGGCTTTCCTGGTAGCTCAGTCGGTAAAAAATCTGCCTGTAGTGCAGGAGACCCAGGTTTAATCTCTGGGTCAGGAAGATTCCCTGGAGAAGGAAATGGCAAATCATTCTAGTATCCTTGCCTGGAAAATCCCATGGACAGAGGAGCCTGGTGGGCTGCAGTCCATGGGGTTGCAAAGTTGGGCACAACTGAGTGACTATCACTCCCATCTCTAACAAGCTGGATGGTCCGATTTCTTGCAACACAGGAGTCTGGAATACATTGGAAAGCTCACTGAAAGCAGGCAGGAGAAACCACCAGTGATGTCACTGAAGAGAGAAAAGAACTCCAAGATCAGTCAGGGGACCAATATAAGCATCTCTGAAGCCACTTAATGCAGCTCTCACTCCTCTGTGAGTCCCCTTAGTGCAAAAATGGATGTTCACAGCGCTGATCTGAGGTCATGAAGGAAAATGTCGCTGACATCAGGAGGTCAGACTGTGACATGCATAAACAGGGCAGAAATATTTCCATGATCAATTATTAATATAAGTATTCACTTTTAATCTCAGGAACTCTAGATATCAGAAAAATACAGTCACCCAAACTATTCCCATTTCCAAAAGAGCTGGAAATATAAGCCACCACTCATACCCACTGCCTCAGAGCTCTGCCACTCAGATCAGACTAACCAACTGGACATGTTTAGAGTTCAATTTCAAGTTTAGACTTCAGTTTCCCTCACTCTCCAAAAGCACCCACCTGTGTGCAGACCCCCAAATTACAGGAAGGCTGCACAGCCTCAGATTTCCTAGGAACTTCTGGAGGCAAGAGGGAGTCAGAGAAGAGGCTGAACTAAATAAAGAACTCTCTTAAAAAAGAACAGCTCCATTACTTTCTAATATAGAAGCAAATTGCTAAAGACAGGCATGTAAGAAAAAGACCTAGGGCCTTCATTTAATGATGAAATCAGACTCATTTATAATTATCTACATCCAATTTGAACCTAAGTAGTTTTTCTCAATTAAGTCAAACAAACCCTCTCAACTCTCCAATGGGTCTTGCTTTCCTATTTGCTTAATGTTTTCCTCAATGATAGATCCCATATCTGAGTCATCCATCACGCATTTCTCATTAGGCTAGGTTTGGCTTAGAAGTAAATCCCCTTTCTGGCAGTTCACTGCCTTAGGCCCCCGAACCTGCCAATTCGCTAGCTAAGCAGCAACGGAGGACTTGGGCCTCCACCCTGGGTCCCCACCTTCCCTCCACCACATCTTCCACCTCCTCTCCTCCTACCCCACCCCTCATCTCCCTGAGATTTCCCAAGCCCCCAGATGCCCCATCCCAGCTCCCTGTGTTCTGCCCCCTACCCACACACCTATTCATCCCTTCACCCAGGCCAGCCATCCCTGTCTGTCCTTCTCTGAATCTGTCTCCCTCATGTCCACTGCTACCCACGGAAGTCTCCAATCGCCCACTCCATTTCTCTGGGCCAAGCAGAATGGGGCCCCCCTCCCCTATCCAACCCTTGGCCCTCCTCTCCCTGGCAGCTCCCCCTTCTCAGAGCTGGTGGTTAGGTCACGTTGTTTTCCTCTGCAGGGCCCCGGGAGACTCCGCTTCACTCCTAGCTCCAGATAGTGGCTTTCCAGATAGTGAAGCTTTCCAGAATCATCAACACAATGACAGATCTGCCTCGGTTCCCCTGCACACCCAGGGCCTCCGCGGTCACCCTGGGCGGCCACCCGCCCAGCCTCCCCCTCGAACGGATTCCCGGGTGAGGGCAGGTCCCACAGTGCTCAGGCCCCGCCGGCCAGGGGAAGGGGAGGCAGGGCTGGGGGCGGGATTGGATTCTGGCAGCCCCAGCCGCCTCCGGGCCCCAGATCTGGGGTCCAACGTGCTCCCGGCGCCGCGGCCAGCCCCGGCAGGGGGAGAGGGCTGGGGCGGGGGCGCCCTGCGAGGGAGGGGGCTCACCGCCCTCCCCAGCAGTCCTGCAGCAGGCCCGCTCCCGGCGGCCGGGGGCCGGGCTCGGCCGCAGACAAAGGCCGCCCCGACCAGCGCCGGGCCCGCCACGCAAGCACTCACCGCGCCGCGCCGACTCCCGGGACTCGGGGACGCGGCGGAGCGCTGCCACGCGGGCCCGGAAAGGCGGCCCGGGTGCGCCCCAGAGGCCGGATTGGCCCCGCGGCCGCGGTTTAGGGCCGAGGCCGGAGCCAGCCCGCTGGGCAGGGCACCGGCGGGGACCCGCCCCTGCCCTGGGTGCAGACCCACGCGGGCGCGCTGGTAAAGGGCTGCTAGTCTGATCCCCGCCCATCCCCCACCGTGACCCACCCTCCCAAGATCCGGAGTTTATTTTCTGCTAGGGGGATAGCTGGAAGGTCATCGACCACCCTGGGTCCTGCTCCAGGCCGCTGGCTGCAGAGCCAGAGCTCGGATCTGGCTGGCTGACTCCGCAGTCCAGTCCTCTCCTCTGGCACCAGACTGGTACCGTGGCCTGGAAAGGGTTAATTCGACTGTGAAGCATTAAGAGCGGCAGGCAGCTCTCTATAAATACAGTGTGTCGTGGGCGCCTGAGCCAACCGCAGGGTAATTTCCACTGAGCTGGTTTTCCTTTTTTCCTTCCACCCACGGCCACCACGCTGGCCCTGCCCCCAGCCCCATGCCAGGCTAGTGGCCACCCCAGGCTCCCAAAGGTGGGACAGCTCTGACCGCCCCCCACCCTGATCTGGAGCTCTGTCTTTCTAGGACTCAACTCCAGCCTGGAGGAGATGGGGCTGGGTCAGGCTTGGATCTCCAGCCTGCAGGGTGATAGGGGGTCAAGCCTTTGCCTTGGCACATCCCATCCCTGCACCTGTTCTCTGACCTGTTCTCCATCAGTTACAGACAGTAATAGCTAAGGTGCAGTAGACTTCCGTGCAGAGAGGAGGCTAGGAGTTTTCCATGCTGGGCCTGTTTAGATCCTCAAAGCACCTGGACCAGGAAGATAATATTATCCCTGTTTTACAGGTGGGAAAATTGAGCCTCAGAGAGATAAAAGGACTCCTATGCTGTCAGACTTTATTTTGGGGGGGCTCCAAAATCACTGCAGATGGTGATTGTAGCCATGAAATTAAAAGACGCTTACTCCTTGGAAGGAAAGTTATGACCAACATAAATAGCATGTTAAAAAGCGGAGACATTACTTTGCCAACAAAGGTCCATCTAGTCAAGGCTATGGTTTTTCCAGTGGTCATGTATGGATGTGAGAGTTGGATGGTGAAGAAAGCTGAGCACCGAAGAATTGATGCTTTTGAACTGTGATGTTGGAGAAGAAGGGACTCTTGAGAGTCCCTTGGACACAAGGAGATCCAACCAGTCCATCCTAAAGGAGATCAGTCCTCAATATTCATTGGAATGACTGATGTTGAAGCTGAAACTCCAATACTTTGGCCACCTCATGTGAAGAGTTGACTCAGTGGAAAAGACCCTGATGCTGGGAGGGATTGGGGGCAGGAGAAGGGGACAACAGAGGCTGAGATGGTTGGATGGAATCACCGACTTGATGGACATGAATTTGAGTAAACTCCGGGAGTTGGTGATGGACAGGGAAGCCTGGCGTGCTGCGATTCATGGGGTCGCAAAGAGTTGGACACGACTGAGCGATTGAACTGAACTGATGTTGTATTGCAGCTAGGTCCACCACCAAGTGGCAGCAGCAAGATGGGAGAGGGTTTCGGAAATGTGTTTGAATATATGTGCATCTCTGTCAGCCACTGTTTTAAGCACTTTACCGCTTTATCTCATTTCATCTTCACAACTCAGTGCTATGCTTAGTCACTCAGTCATGTCCAACTCTTTGTGACCCCAGGGACTGTAACCTGCCAGACTCCTCTGTTCATGGGATTCTCCAGGCAAGAGTAATGGAGTGGGTTGTCATGCCCTCCTCCAGGGGATCTTCCCAACCCAGGAATCAAACCCAGATCTCCAGCATTACAGTAGATCTTTACCATCTGAGCCACCAGGAAAGCCCACAACTCAGTGAGGTAAATGCTATCATTAATATCATCCTCATGTTCACAGGTATGGAAATTAAGGCACAAGGAGAGAGGAATCTTAAGGATATCCAAGCATAAGTGGAGGAACTAAGATTTTTCCCCCTTGAATTTAAGTGCTGAATTCAAACTTAATTGTAGTGTGTGTGTGTGTGTGTGTGTGTGTGTGTATGAGTGATGCATGGGTGTGTGTATTTGTGAACATCTGTAACTCTGCACCTAATTGCACATGTGATCTGAAAGTAAGTTTCATAGTGGCTGTGTCTGCATTGGTGTCTGTGTAACTGCTCCTAGGGATGGGGCAGAGATTGGGGGATCAAGGACCAGGTCTTTCTGGTCCAGAGTGCTTGAAGGTCATCAGCTTCCCCCTCCCTGCTCCTTCCTACCCTGTCAGGTCCTGTCTAGCCTGGGCCTGACTTCATGATTCTCAAGATGAGTAGCCCTTACTAGGCCCCAAAATCTAGGGGAGAAGCATCCCATGGAGAGGTGCCTCTGAGCTGCGAGATCCAGGAGCCCTGCAGCAGGACTTAGAACTGGTCTGGAGGAATTCGCTGTCTGTACTTACCCCAGGAGTCAGCCCTGTGCTTTATGCCCCAAGGTGGTAACACAGGTCCTGTCCCAGAGGACTTATAGTCTGGCAGGGAAGGCACGACTTAGCTGTGATGGACAGTGAAGGAACAGCACAGAGCAGTTTACACTTGGTAGGGGTTGGTGGGGAGACTTTAATTGTTGCTGGAGAGAATAGCTCAGGAGGGACGGAAACAAGTACTGACTGACATTCCCGAAGCAGTGCCTTAAGAGGGTGTTGACTTCCCCCAGAAAGGGCAAACACTGTGGGCAGGGGACAGGCGGAGTGTCTGTAGGACAGGCTCAGCTGTGACTTGGACACTTGCTCCTGGACATAAACACCTAGACCATCCCAGCACAGAGGACTCTCCTCAGGTCATGGAATGTTTGTTCTGTGCCTAGTTAAAAATAATCCTTTCTCAGACTCCCTTGCAGCTAGAGGTGGTCACATGATCTAAGATGGCCAATGAGATGAAAGTGAAACTCACTGGTTGGAGCTTCAGGGAAAGCCCTTTGTTAAAGGGCTGAGACTATGGAAGACAGTATGGTGGTTCCTCAAAAAACTAAAGATATAATTACCATAGAATCCAACATTTTAAATCTGGGTATATATTCATAAAGAATTGAAATTAGGGTCTCAGAGATATTTGCATCCCCATGATCATAGCAGCGTTATTCACAATAGCCAAAGGGTGGAAGCAATGCAAGTGTCCTTTGATGGATAAATGGATAAATAAAATGTGGTAATGTGTATTTAGTGAAAGTTGCTCTTTCACTAAATTAAAGTGAAAATCACAAAGAGCTGTGTTCAATTCTTTGGGACCCCATAGATTGTAGCCTGCCAGGCTGCTCTGTCCATGGAATTCTCAAGACCAGAATACTGGAATGGGTAGCCGTTCCCTTCATCCAGGGGATCATTCCAACCCAGGGATCAAACCAAGGTCTCCTGCATTGCAGGTAGATTCTTTACCAGCTGAGCTACCAGGGAAGCCTGGTAATGTGTATAATGGAATATTATTCAGCCTGAAAAAAGGAAGGAAATTCTGACATATGATACAACATGGATGAACCTTGAGGATATTGTGCTAAGTGAAAAAGTCCAGTCACAGAAAGACAAATATTGTATAAATCTGCTTATATGAGGTACTAATGTGGTCCAATTCATAGAAACAAAGCAGAATGGTGGTTACCAGAGACTGGGAAAGGGAGAATGGGGAGTTATTGTTTAATGGGTACAGAGTTTCAGTTTTTCAAGACAAAAAAAGACTGGAGATTTTAAAAAATATTTATTTATTTAACTATATCAGATCTTAGTTGCAGGATGCAGGATCTTTAGTTATAGCATTTGAACTCTTAGTTGCTGCATATGGGATCTAGTTCCCTGACCAGGGATCAAACTCTGACCCTCTGCATTGGGAGTGGAGAGTCTTAGCCACAGGACCACCAGGGAAGTTCCAAGACTGGAGATTGACTACACAACAATGTGAATGTACTGACTACTGAACTATACACGGAAAAGTGACTAAGATAATTTTTATGTATATTTTTCCATAATTAAAAAAATAGAAAAGAACAGTTTTAGCTGGCATGAACCTTGCCTTTTGCCTTTATTATTCTTCTTTCTCTCCTGTGCCTGAAATGCAGACACACCACCAAACAGTAAAGCAACCATCTTGCAACTATGCAGACAGAAGCTAAGTAAGGGAGGCACAGGAGAAAGGCAGAAGGAACCTGGCTCCTGAAGGCATTGCAGAGCAGCCACCCTGACCCCAGATTGCTCCAGTGCTTGGCCTGGTCCTCGAGTTGCCACTGCTTACTCAGCACTGATGAGGGAAGAATGGTCAGTCAGTTCAGTTCAGTCACGTCTGACTCTTTGCGACTCCATGGACTGCAGCACGCCAGGCTTCCCTGTCCATCACCAGCTCCAGGAGTTTACGCAAACTCATGTCATTGAGTCAGTGATGCCATCCAACCATCTCATCCTCTGTCATCCCCTTCTCCTCCCACCTTCAATCTTTCCCAGTAACAGGGTCTTTTCCAAGGAGTCAGTTCTTTGCATCAAGTGACCAAAGTATTGGAGTTTCAACTTCAGTATTTGTCCTTCCAATGAATTTTCAGGACTGATTTCCTTTAGGATTGACTGGTTGGATCTCCTTGCAGTCCAAGGGACTCTCAAGAGTCTTCTCCAACACCACAGTTCAAAATCATCAATTCTTCAGCACTCAGCTTTCTTTATAGTCCAACTCTTACATCCATACATGACTACTGGAAAAACCATAGCTTTGATTGATGGACCTTTGTTGGCAAAGTAATGTCTCTGCTTTTTAATATGCTGTCTAGGTTGGTCATAACTTTCCTTCCAAGGAGTAAGCGTCTTTTAATTTCATGGCTGCAATCACCATCTGCAGTGATTTTGGAGCCCAAAAAAATAAAGTCTGACACTGTTTCCACTGTTTCCCCATCTATTTCCCATGAAGTGATGGGACCAGATGCCATGATCTTAGTTTTCTGAATGTTGAGCTTTAAGCCAACTTTTTCACTCTCCTCTTTCACTTTCATCAAGAGGCTCTTTAGTTCTTCTTCACTTTCTGCCATAAGGGTGGTGTCATCTGCATATCTGAGGTTATTGATATTTCTCCCGGCAATCTTGATTCCAGCTTGTGCTTCTTCCAGCCCAGCGTTTCTCATGATGTACTCTGCATATAAGTTAAATAAGCAGGGTGACAATATACAGCCTTGACGTACTCCTTTTCCTATTTGGAACCAGTCTGTTGTTCCATGTCCAGTTCTAACTGTTGCTTCCTGACCTGCATACAGGTTTCTCAAGAGGCAGGTCAGGTGGTCTGGTATTCCCATCTCTTTCAGAATTTTCCACAGTTTATTGTGATCCACACAGTCAAAGGCTTTGGCATAGTCAATAAAGCAGAAATAGATGTTTTTCTGGAACTCTCTTGCTTTTTCGATGATCCAGCGGATGTTGGCAATTTGATCTCTGGTTCCTCTGCCTTTTCTAAAACCAGCTTGAACATCTGGAAGTTCACGGTTCACGTATTGCTGAAGCCTGGCTTGGAGAATTTTGAGCATTACTTTACTAGCGTGTGAGATGAGTGCAATTGTGCGGTAGTTTGAGCATTCTTTGGCATTGCCTTTCTTTGGGATTGGAATGAAAACTGACCTTTTCCAGTCCTGTGGCCATTGCTGAGTTTTCCAAATTTGCTGTCATATTGAGTGCAGCACTTTCACGGTATCGTCTTTTAGGATTTGAAATAGCTCAACTGGAATTCCATCACCTCCACTACCTTTGGTCATAGTGATGCTTCCTAAGGCCCACTTGACTTCTCCTTCCAGGATGTCTGGTTCTAGGTGAGTGATCACACCATTGTGATTATCTGGGTCATGAAGATCTTTTTTGTATAGTTCTTCTGTGTATTCTTGCCACCTCTTCTTAATATCTTCTGCTTCTGTTAGGTCCATATCATTTCTGTCCTTTATTGAGCCCATCTTTGCATGAAATGTTCCTTTGGTATCTCTAATTTTCTTGAGGAGATCTCTAGTCTTTCTCATTCTATTGTTGTCCTCTATTTCTTTGATTGATCACTGAGGAAGGCTTTCTTATCTCTCCTTGCTATTCTTTGGAACTCTGCACTCAAATGGTATATCTTTCCTTTTCTCCTTTGCCTTTTGTTTCTCTTCTTTTCTCAGCTGTCTGTAAGGCCTCCTCAGACAACCATTTTGCCTTTTTGCATTTCTTTTTTTTTTTTAATTATAGTTTTACTTTATTTACTTAACTCTCCTGAGATTTAACATGCTCATCTATGAAATATTGTAAGGACACTTACATCGCAAGGTTGACACTTGTATATCATAGACACCTGTAAATTTAAACAGTTTGACAAAGGCAAGGAATTGTGTCCCCCCAGAGAAAAGGCTGGAAGCATATCTCCAGGGAGTTCCCAGTGCCTTGCTCAGAAAGGGCTGTGTTCAGAGCCTTGCACATCTCCAGAAGTCTCAAAACAGTTGGTATGTAAAATAAAGTAACACATCTGACTTTACATTTCTGCATATGCCACAGAAGTTCTCACCTTGTTTTTGCTTTGTGGAATAAGAATTCAGTTCTATTTCCTGTAGTTTTCTCTAGCTGCTTATCTCTTCTAGAGCTTACCTGTCCCAATCTGTTCTCAGAGCTTCTGCAGGACACAGCACCTAACTCTATCAGGACTCTGTCACCTAACCCAAGCCTTTCCACCTTACCAGGGTCCACAGAGTTAGCCTTTCTCTTAGTCTTGCTGCAACTTACTCAGCTTATGTCATCCACCTGTGGACTTATTTCTCATCAGCAAATACATAAATATAATAGATATTTGTTCAAAGTTGTTGATTAGCTCATCTGATAGATTAATTTATGTTTTTAGTAGATTTTAAGGGTATTATGCCTCCCAGATAATACAAATTGTAATGGTTTTACTTAATAATAATAACACCGACTGGTACCCTTAAGAGTGTGTTTGTGTGTGTATGTGTGTATGTGAAAATTGCTCAGTCAAGTCTGACTCTTTGTGACCCAATGGACCGTAGCCCGCCAGGCTCCTCTGTCCATGGCATTCTCCAGGCAAGAACACTGGAGTGGGCTGCCATTCCCTTCTCCAGGGGACCCCTCCCAACCCAGGGATAGAACCCAGGTCTCCCACACTGCAGGCAGACTCCTTACCATCTGAGCCTCCAGGGAAGCCCTGTACTCTTAAAACANCTGCTGCTAAGTCGCTTCAGTCGTGTCCGACTCTGTGCGACCCCTTAGACAGCAGCCCACCAGGCTCCCCCGTCCCTGGGATTCTCCAGGCAAGAACAGTGGAGTGGGTTGCCATTTCCTTCTCCTTGAAAACACTATAAATTGTAAATATGCTTATGCATCATCTTGCTTGGCTGATGGTTGAGATTAGACATGGACAACATTAGCCTCATGCTCGGGCTTTCCTGGTGGCTCAGACAGTAAAGAGTCTGCCTGCAATGCAGGAGATGTGGGTTCAGTCCCTCAGTCGGGTAGATCCCCTAGAGGAGGGAATGGCTACCCACTCCATTATTCTTGCCTGGAGAATCCCATGGACAGAGTAGCTTGGTGGGCTATAGTTCATGGGTTCACAAACAGTAGGACGTGAATGAATGACTAATACACACTTTCACTTCACTTTTCAGAAGGAGCTCCAGAGAGAGCCAAGGCTGAGACAGTTAAGTGAGGAGTTCAAGATTTCAGGGCTACTAAGCCAGAGAATGCTAAGTATAACCAAGGAGAAGGACTCCTGGTTAAAAGCTTTCTCATTCAAACTTGCCATCCTTCTAAAAGGACAGCTAACTTGGGGGCGGGTGGAGGGTCCCCTCCCTGCTGTTTTTGAGTAATACGTTGACCTTGAAATTGGGCTTAATGATTCTAGTTCTCATCCCATTAGGAGGAAAATGGGATTAGAAAAAGCAAAAGCAAGAAGGAGAGGCAGAAGAAAGTCAGAGGAAGGACCAGGAAGTAGAAAGATGGGCCTCAGGGAGAGGAGGAGAAGAGAGAGAAAGCTGGTAGGGAGCAGAAATCGATCGGGGTGTGGCGGGGGAGTGATTTAGACCACGAGGGAGAAGAAGGAGGTGAGAAAGGAGAGGAATGAAGGTATGTGGAGAGAGGGAAGGTGGTAATGGTGGGGGCATTTGGACTGAAAGAGAAAAGAGAAAGAGAACTTAAGTGGTAAGATGGAGGGAGTCCCTAAAAAATGGCCTGTAGAGGAGGGAGGACAGTGGGAAATGCGGAGAGAGAAGGAGGAAGTTAGCCTGACATGGGGTTTTGGCTTATGGGCAGGTTCCACCATATCTATACACCACTCCAAGCTCGGGTCCACCTCCTGCTCCTCCTCTCTGCCTCCATCTGGGGTCCCCTCTTGGTCCCGAGACCCCAACCTCTGACTGCTCTAATGTATGCCTCTGGACCTCACTTAACAACCCAACTAAAAATTTTGGGCCAACAAAGTGTTTCTATGTCTGTCAAATCATTCTTTCCAGCTGACAGCTCCTCTCTTTTGCTTCGGCTGGTCTTGTCTCTCCTACCTCACTTGATAGACGCCAATGGAATGAGTATTAATTTGAAATAGATTCAGGAAAAAAAAATATTCTGTCATCTATATGTGCCAAAGCATTATATGTCACTCAAAGCTGAATAGAAATATTTTGGACTAACTTTTCTTTTGTGTTATGTACTCCATTAGCAGAGATACCATGGAACTGACTGAAACCCCTTAATTGGCTCCTTGATGAATTTACCAATATTCTGTCCCAGGCAAGTATGAAGAATAAAGTCTATTTATGGAAATTATCCACTCTTTATGTGTAGAGTTTTTAACTAAAGGCCTAGAGGTGATACTCTAATTAGGCTTTTGAAATCAACTGATAGTTCATTTTCACCCCTCAGAATTATAGTTCTTACGACTTAACCGTTCAGTAGATAATTGAAACCACAGGCAAGGTAAAGCAATTATCTTTTTCAACTTATTATAAAGATTTCCTGAGACAGCATTTATCAAAGTATTTGTTATAACATCAAATAGAATAAAAGCCTTTTTCCTGCAATAAGCATGAAATTTGAAGCTACAAAATGGCAAAGGTTTTTGTACTACTTTGATGTAGCTAAACATTATATATTTTTTTATAGATATAGAAGAGTAGACATCCTTCTGTAAGACTTTTATAATTCCTAACAACCCATTCTTCCTCAGATTTCATGCAGTGAGAATTTTCCTTGTTCTTGAAACGTTTTCTGTTGGTACGCTTTCTTGGTGGTTACTGACATCCATATGTGTAAACATACCAACACATAATATGATATGCATTCGCCTCTTTCTTAAGCTTCCTTCTATTAAAGATGTACAATCTTTTCAATTTGGAAAGTGAAGATCATTATGAAGAATATTTTTAAATGAAAAAGTAAGAAAAACTTACTTAGTCAGTTTCCTCTTCTTTAAGCCATTTTTACTCCTGAGAATCAAAAAAAGAGAAGCAAATTTATCTGGGCTAAAGAATTGATTAACATATGATTAAGCTTAGGGAGCTTTAAATAATTATTGTACATCAGGCACCTCTATTATATCTAATTTTTATTAAACATGCCTAATTTGTTTAATTACTTTCCCTTAAATGAAAAGATAATGATAAAAATTTAAGATTCATTAAAAAAAAAATTCCATTAGATTTCAGAAGGAACCTATACTTTATATTTCAGATTTGCCAAAAAGCTGAGTTCTAGAAATATAATTTCTTGCTCCTAGGTATTAAGTTGCTGAAGTATTTTGTAAATATGTAGAAATATCTACTGGGTGAACACTCTAGGTTTTACAGGCAAGTAGAAAAAAAAATGGGAAATAAAGGCGACAGCTGATGGACGGAGAATAGACATACTGGTTTTTAAATTAAAGACTAAAAAATAACGTTTTTTGGACATTTTCAACAGGAATGTGAATTCGTGCTATCAGTGTTGCCATGCATCATAAATTCTACTATAGCATTGTTCTTATTCAGTTTTGAACGAAGTTTTAAGCTATCTGAAGAATTGCACCTAGTACCTGCTTATTCCTGTTTCATTACTAGTCTGCAAACTCAAACACATATCATACTAATTATGCTTCAGCTAGTTACATTTTAAGAGTATTTTAAATGTTAATTATTTTCTACCAACACGTTAAGACAACTGACCTAAGTTACTTAAAGCTAGGATAATATCTGCTGAAAGGCTTCATTATTCTATTTAGATTGTCTTAAATAAATGATATTGATACATAATTGAGTGTTACAACTTTTATAAGTAATTTTCAAAGGCCCTGAAATATTGATGGGAGCACCCAGACTTTCAGAGCACAAACAATAAGTAGTAAATAGCCAGCTGTGATCTGAGTACTCTTATATGACAAAATATTTATTGATATTTAAAATTATGAATATTTGGGTACCCCCATTTCTGGGAAGTCTTTAGCAAATGAAGTACTACTTCCTCTGGGATTTCATAGAACTTGATTCATGGAGTATTTCTCATGTGGTCTGACCATGAGTTGTATACGCACTCCTTGCTAGGTTGTCCTTTGTCCTCAGACCTGAGTACAGTTCATGGAACACTGGTAGGTGGCCAATAAATGCTTATTTAATTGAATTGAAACAAAACATCTTTATTATATCATCCTCACAATTTTACTTAATGATGCAATTAATAATTGGATATTAGACTTGGGCTCATGAGGGATCCCACTGGGGAAATGGCACTTGTGGGTGAAGAGGAAGTAACAGAGTGAAGGACATATTCATAAATGAAAGTGGTGTTTCTGATTTTCCTTTTTTAGTTTCAGAGAGTTTTTATTTCTTCCCAATTCTTAGTGAAAATAATCCATTCAATAGTTCTTGTTTCTTTTCTCCGTCAGCCTCTTTTTGTCTTTCATATTTGGGATTTAGAAGGAATAAATAAACATTTAGGTTTTTACTTTGCCTCTTCATCATCTCCCCCGCACAGAAAACCCCCCCAAAACAAAAAAAAACCACTGTCATATTGGACAGAGCTGTGCCACATAGGTGTTTGGGAACCTAAAGAGATTACTTCTTGAATAATTTTCTTAAATTGGAGTATAAATGCTTTCCAATATTGAGTTAGTTCCTGCCATACAATGAAGTGTATCAGCGATGTGTGTACATATATCTCCTTCCTCTCACCCCTCCCCCACCCTTCTAGGTCATTACAGAGAATCAAGCTGAGCTTGCTGTGCTATTGAATAATTCTTCTACTCTGCTCTTGTAATGAAGAAAAGTTATGACCAACCTAGACAGCACATTAAAAAGCAGAGATATTACTTTGCCAACAAAGGCCCGTCTAGTCAAGGGTATGGTTTTTCCAGTAGTCATGTATGGATGTGAGAGTTGGACTATAAAGAAGGCTGAGCACCGAAGAATTGATGCTTTTGAACTGTGGTGTTGGAGAAGACCCTTGAGAGTCTCTCTTGGACTGCAAGGAGACCCAACCAGTCCATCCTACAGGAAATCAGTCCTGAATATTCATTGGAAGGAATGATGCTGAAGCTTAAACTCCAATACTTTGGCCACCTGATGCGAAGAACTGACTCATTGGAAAAGACCCTGAAAGATGGAAAGATGGAAGGCAGGAGGAGAAGGGGACGACAGAAGATGAGATGGCTGAATGGCATCACTGACTCAATGAGCATGAGTTTGAGTAAACTCTGGGAGTTGGTGATGGACAGGGAGGCCTGGCGTGCTACAGCCCATGGGGTCGCAAAGAGTCGGACACGACTGAGCAACTGAACTGAAATGAACTGTAGTGGTAATTTAGGAATCCTACATTTACTTCCTGTAGGAGGAGCCCATTACTTTAGTGTCTGATGAAAGCAGAATTTTAGCATAAGGAACAGTTCTGGTAACTCTGGAGGTTGCCAACATATTTTGTAATTCAGAGTGAAATTAAAAAAAGAAAAACATAAAACCTTTGTGATCCAAACTGATTTTAAGGGAAACCAGGAGGAAACAAATGTCTCTGGTAGGGTGACACTGAATAAATGTAGTGCTGAAATATTAAGCTGCTACTATTCCACAGCTGTCTTGAAACCTGATTCATGGAGGAGAGATACTAGTTTTTTTCTTTCTGTCACATTCACTGATTGAATGAACCTAAAATACAGTATGAAATTCTACCACATGTTTTGTATGCTCTTGTCTTAAGTATATGTCTTTATAGTTTGTGTACAACTTTCATTGTTCTGATTAGATTTTACTGAATTGCTGAAGATTCCCAAGGGTTCTTGTTATGTAAAGCCATGGGACATGCCAGTACTGAATTGTGGGACTTCACAGCAAGACTGAGGGAATTTTCCCACATTTTGAATGGCTGTACTGATCCTATGACTCAAATCAAGGGAAAATTTAAGTAAACATGTAAGTTCAGGCTTTGCTAGCAGTCTTCCCTTCAGCACTTTATGAACAGGGCTTATGAGTGTGTGCCTGCCACAGTGAGCAGTTTGGGTGATGTTGAGGTCATCATCTTGTCATTGCAAAATATTTTCTGAATAACTGGTTAATAATACATACCTGACATATAGCATATACACATATAGGATCATGTACTTCTTTTACTTTTTCTCTTTCACTTGCTTTAGATAAGGTTCAAAACCCTAACGATGTCAAGAAGTTAAGATGCATTAGGATGGAAGGGAGGTTCAAAAGGGAGGGGACATATGTATACCTATGACTGATTCATGTTGATTTATGAAAGAAACCAAGAATATTGTAAAGCAATTATCTTCCAATTAAAAATAAATACATTTTTATAAAAAGATGCATTCTTTATAAGTTCTTCATGATTATGACTGTTTTGGAAAGCCCACCAGAATGGAATTTATTCCGAGAGGAATACCAGCCAATGGAAGAGACATGGGGTTTATGATTGTTAAAAACAAACACAAAGGAAACCTGAAAACAGTAAACAAAAAACTCTAAGCATTATTTACTTTTTCATGATACAAACACAAATCATCTTCACATCTTAAACAGGTCTTTAGAGTTATGTCATTCTCTGAATAGAACATGCAACAAACAGGAGTAAAGTTGAGCAGTAATATTGCAACATATGCTTAAAATACTGACTATTAAGCATTTAGAACAGGTCAGATGAGTATGTGAGTACAGCATGATAGTAAAGAAAAGAGAGCAACAACGCTGAATCTGGAGAGAGCTGGTCCAAATGAGATGGTTTTCTTTAAATAGGAAATACAATCTGAGATCACTAAAGTCAGAAATCCTGGCAGAATGCAATTCTAAGATTAAGCCAATGGGCATATAGGCTCCACAGTGATTCTGCCACTACTTGGGAAAAGATTTGAGCAACCCTATTTAGGCAGGAGACAGATGGGCCCGGCAGGGTAAACCAATGGGAGATTCATTCTCTACTGGCAAGAAAAGAATAGCAGAACAATCAAGGGAGGAGGCTGGCCCTTGCTCAGACCACATATTTCCTGTTTCTTAAGTCAGGAGACCTCCCCAACCTCACCTGCAGAGAAAGGCTCCTTGGAGGTCAAAGAGGGAATGATGTTAAGGGATGCTCTGCCCAGATGCCTTTGAGGTAGAGATGTGTGGGAGGATCCTCCCACAACATGGGAGCATCCTGAGATACATCAAATATGGACTGTGAACCAAGCAAATCAAAATGATTGGCTGAAGGAAACCCAGAAGAGATGCCCAATAAAAGCAATTCAAATTTCCATGAGGGTGCGACTCAGCGACTCTCTCTCTCCCTGAGTCTGCCTGTGTTCCAGCCACATGTCCTGTACATTTTCCCTCTGAATAAGTCCTCTACTTGTTTCGTTACTTTCCCTCTTTGTGAAACTCTTTTCTGCAAAGCCAAAGGGCCAGGGGTCTTGTCATTGACCACTGGTCTGGTGGCTAGGATCTGGTGCTTTCACCACTGTGACCCAGCCCAATCTCTGGCTGTGAACCAAGCCCTGCTCCAAGCCATTACCAGCTGAGGCCACCTGAGATCAATACGAGGGAGAAAGAGTCTCTGAATTTCCACACAAACCATAAGAAGCATCAGGAGGATTTTAGACAATCATCAGGAACATATCTATCCAAGAAGTTGACAGTTTAGAGATGAAGCCGGGCAGTGTTAAGAATGAAGGGGATGGTTCTGTTATTTGAGGTGGTTGTTAATAGAGGAGTGAAATATGAGGATAGACACATCTGAAGGAGGATTTAAAAAGACTACTTAGCAAATGAAAGCAGGGGGAAATATCCACAATTTATGAGATAAAGAGAAAAGTAGCAATGAGTAGGGAATTTGGGTGGCTTTGTGAGAGTACTGAACTGTAATTGAAGGAACAGGGACCCTTTTACCTCTTTTATAGGACATTTTATAGACATTTATCTTTTATAGAGGATATTTTACCTCTTTTATATCTTGCATAGCACAAGTCTAGGGCTGGAAACACAGTTTGGGTTCAGTGTATTTTCATTGGTTATTATGCGTGCAGTTGATGGAAAATGCAGAAAGCCTGGGGCTCCATCTTCTGCTTTCTCTTCTCATCTGGAGATAACCATTTGTAGCCTCAGGACCATTTTTCTAAAACCACTGAATGGATTTTTCCCTTCCAAAGTTGGGTCTCATGCTATTTGAGCAGTACTATAAATAACAGACCTTGAAGGGGTTGCTGAAATTTGAACCTGTGTTCATCAGTGGGAGCGCTTTCCCGGTAGCTCAGCTGGTAAAGAATTCGCCTGCCATACAGATGACCCCAGTTCGATTCCTGGATTGAGAAGATTCCCGGGAGAAGGAATAGGCTACTCATTCCAGTATTCTTGGACTTTCCTGATGGCTCAGATGGTAAAGAATCCTCCTGCAATGCAGGAGACCTGGGTTTGATCCCTGGGTTGGAAAAATCTCCTGGGGAAGGCAATGGCTACCCACTCCAGTATTCTTGCCTAGAGAATTCCATGGACAGAGGAGCCTGGCAGGCTATATAGCACATGGGATCGCAAAGAGTTGGACATGACTGAGCGATTAACACTTTTACTGCCTTTTCACTTTTCACCATACATGAACACCATCTGATGTCAACTTAAAACATTGATTGACTGTGGTGAAGTCCTATACATGAGACTTAAGAATAAACTAGGAATAATAGTGAAGGGGTCTTTCTCATCCAGCACATTCCTCTGACTTTGTTACTTACACAGCAGTGTCTACCATGTTTCAGAAATTTTTCAACTAGTTCTTTTTTTTTTTTTGATAAAGAAAATACAAATTCTGGTATTAACAATCTCCATCATGAGGACATTCTTTTTTATACTTTTCCACTTGCAAATCAAAGTTCTAACTTTTCCCACTGTATTTATTCTGTCTTCAGAGAAGCGGAATATTTGATCAATTCTATTTGAATGGCTAACTCTCCAGATTGCTTTAAATCTTGAATTCTGTCCCCTCCCCCACCGTGAGACCTTTTCCCACTCCATGAACTGTTTTTATTGTTTTTATCTGAGTCCTTCTCAAGTTGTCCAGGTTTCTGGATCCATTCGTACAAAATTCAGTACCTAAACACCATGGACTAATACTTAAGGACAATAATTTTTTTTTCCTCTGAGAAACTGCTGCCTTATGCTGGCTTTTGGTTCAGAAAAAGAAATAGTTCTTCTGGATACATTAATCTCAAAATTCAAGATCATTATCATTATACTCTATAAAAACTAAAAGATACTCTTTGAGATTTGATTATTAAAATGATTTAAAAGTCAAGAAAATAAGAATTTAGAGGAGGCTTTTTAGAGAGGAAAGAATAGATTTCAGAGACACTTGGGTTTGGAATCTGAATTTTCTATATAGTCATGTGATGTCAAGATAGCTAATCTTTTTCCTCTATTTCTACCACTGTAAAATGATGCTGATAACACTCTCTGCAGAGGTGTGGGGACAGTTAAATCAAAGGATTATACAAAGAGGCTCACACATAGTCAGTGGTTCAATATTCACTGAGTGAGCAATGTGCATCATTATAAAAACATAAAGCTCCCCTAAAACAGAGTACAGTGTTCTGGGCTTCTTTGTCTGATTGTGTGGTTTTTTTTTTTCTTCTTAGAAATATGGAGCTAACCAATGGAAATTGTGAGAAAAATGGACCGCATCATTTTTAAAGATGAGAGGCCATGGACTAACTCAACGATGAAATGAATAACTTAATAGATGGAAGAAAAGCTTGCCAAGAACATCACAAGAAGAAAATTTAACTGGGAAAACATTATAGTTAGCATCTGGGTACCATTAGCTGCTTTAATCCATTTCAATACATTATTAATAATTTCACATGCTGCTAAACACATAAAATCATTAAAAAGGGTTTTCTCTTTGGTTTATTTCTTGAAAGCTAACTTTTAAAATTTTGTGTTAGGTAAACAGTAAAAAAGTCACTTACCAAGGATTAATATAAAATGCCAAAAGATAATCAGTCCAAAGACATGAGGGTAGCAGGGTTAAGAAAGCAAATATACTCCTACGCCTGTGAGCGTTGATAGATAACAGATGTAAAGATGAAAAAGTGGCAAGAGTTAGTAATACAAGCTGTGAACAGAGATCAGTAAATTACCGACTGGGATCAATTAAAATGACAAGCACCTTAATTACAGTTAAATATTATTCCATTCTCTGAAATTTAAACATGAGGGCTTAAATGCGATAATATTGCCCAAATCAGTTTTATTCACATGCAGCGTTATTGTAATCAGATATATTTCTTTCAATTTGGTTTGTGTCAATTAGCCTGCTATTAGGTGATTACATTTTGCATTCATTTAAATGAGGCTCTGAAATGCCTCATTAGTTACCTCCAGTCTTATTCTTGGATATTACCCTTGTAACGCTTAAGGCTATTTTAAGAAATCTATAACATCATTTGCTAGCTAACGGCAGCTTGTGTAAGGAATACAAATGGTTAGTTTGAGTATACTGATTCTGGTAAACAAGCTTTCAGAACACATTCTTATAAAGATGCACTGCTAGGTATGGCTTTCTATATTATTTAAAATATAAATGATTATAATATACAATTCCTCAAAATAATCCTTAAAACAAGGGTATGACATGACATCCACATACCATTCATCCGACATATTACTATGTAGCTCACCCACTAGTTTCTAATTTTACTTACACTCCATGGAGTGGGAGCAAAATTACTTAGCTTCACGTTAATTCTAATGCAGACCGTTGATTTAAAAATGCCTGATTTGAGTCAGATTTCAGATATTTAAAACCTAGTAAGATAAAGCATTTATTAATGTAGATTTAAAAATATCCTTTGGTTGTATTTATAGTTATTCTGAGAATTAGGGAAAATGACTTTGTCCGTTTGTTACTTTAGTTATTACACATCTCCACTGAGATGTGTATTCTCAGTTAGCCAGAAAATGTTAACGCTGGCAACACTGTCTTTTGCCCAGAGCTGCACAAGCATTTTTCTTAATTTTATAGGAATGTTCTGAAATGAATTCTCTTCTGTTTCAGTTCTCCCATAACTGATCTCTCATAAAGTTTGTAAATTGTGACCAGTTGTGTAGTTAGTAAATATATTGATCTGAGTCACAAGTACAATGTTATCAGTTTCTAGATGGGCCCCTCATCACTACTCTGTGAATGGGTCTTTTTTAAGGGTGAGACAGGCAAGCAATGGGATTGCCCAGGTGGTACTAGTGGTAAAGAATCTGCCTGCCAACCAGGAGATGCAGGTTTGATCCCTGGGTTGGGGAAACCCCCTGGAGTAGGAAATGGCAACCCACTCCAGCACTCTTGCCTGGGAAATTCCATGGACAGAGAAGCCTGGTGGGCTACAGTTCATGGGGTTGCAAAGAGTCTGACACAGCTGAGTGACTGAGCATAGGCAAGAAATGAATATCAGTGAGTCAGTCTCTTAATCTTGGAGAGAGTGCTAATAATATTTGAATAAATCTAGAAATGTTTTCTAACTTTTTACTATCAAGAGTTTATGGATTACTCTTGATAGTTGGATGAATCATATTTGAATAGCAAAATTCCATTCAGGGTGAAATTTTAAAATAGCACAGCATATTGTCTTATTAAAAAGAATCCTATATCACCTAGATTTTCAACTGAAGTGGTCTCAACTAGTTGCCCGTTTAGCATTTACAGTTTAAATAAAGCACCCCCTCATTAATTCTGAGAGTAGAATTTCTAGTATAACATATCTACTTCTTTCAGATTAAACATTTTTAGGGGGTTAGGAAAATAGAAAAAAAATCACCGAGGATTAACATGAAATGTATATCTTTAAAGGTATTTTGCATGGAGTTGCTTGTGAAAGAAACTAGAACATGTAAGCAGGGCTGGCTTCATATTAAATGGTTACTTAATTGGCAGTTTTGTTGGGTATTCACTGCTGTGCATAGGATCATTAATTCATATGGATCACTGTTAGGTATAATGTCAACTGATTTAACTTCATGACAATGCTTTCTTAGTTCTCAGAATACCCCCTCCCTCCAAGTCCTTAATACTCAAGCATATGGAAATAACGAGGCTACCTTTCTCAGGGACACTTTGGTATTTATCTTCCTGTAAACATAAGAGTTGAGAGCCCCGAACTGTATCCTTCTACTTGATTTTTCAACAAAAGTAGTGGCTCAGGCACTGAAGCTTGAGTTTTAAACAGAGATGCTGCTCTGTCTCTTGGCTACTTCCCTGGACTATCCTCTTCCATCTTCAGTCACACTTCCTCCGTGACCCTCCTGCATTAACCCTTCAGCAGCCCAGCTGTGGGCAACTCACAACTGCTTCATTTCATTCCTTTGTGTAATGTATCAGTACAGAGCTGACCACCTGGTTTTCTCTCCTTAGTTAAATTAAGCTTATATATGCTAATGTACTCTCTGAAGAAGTCATCTTCAAGTTCACCATCACTGAAATGATGAAAGGATAACCAAGCAAAACCATCTATTTACAAATACAGCACAATCAAGTTTGGAGCACACACAACATAGTCAAGCTACCTAGAGACTTGTTCCAAAACAGTACTCACCAGTTGTATGGGAGCTTCCCATCCCGCTCCAAGGATGCAAAATTGACGAAAGTTCCTGCTCCACACTCCCTGTTGGAAAAGAACCACAAAATCAAGATCAGCATTTGACAGAGCATGTTTTACTTTGACATAAAAGAGTCTTTATGTCAAGGTAAAAAGTTATCTTAAGGTAAAAAACCTTGATGTCATCTCAGAGAATGAGATGGCTGGGCAGCATCACTGATGCAATAAACATGACCTTGGGCAAACTCTGGGAGATGATGAGGGGCAGGGAAGACTGGTGTGCTAGAGTCCACGGGGGCACAGAGACAGACCCAACTGGGTTCCTGAAGAATAACAAAAAAGAGTCTTTAATAACTAACCATCAGAGCATTAACAATTAAAAAGTCAATATAAGTTGCTTGCATTCCGCATTTGGATATGATGCAAAATAGAAAGACAAAATTTTTCACAGGGGCACACACACCCAAGTCAAGTTATTTGAAGTTGAAAAGATATGGTTCACAATCCTTATGAAAGTGCACTCATGATTGTAAACTAACTGTTGAATGAACTCTAGTGGGTAGAATACTTTTATTATTATTATTTTTTTTTACAAAACCTTCACTAGCAAGGTATAGAAATTGCTCTTAGATAGACTAAAGGTTTTCCATTCTTAGCAACTATTCCTTGTTTTTATAGCATTTTGATTTCCTCTTTAGTAAATGGTGGATCAAACTGAACAGTCTTCTTCCTCCAAAACTTTCCTCTTATGTTGTTACGCCCATATTATTCATCACTTGAGATAAGAGTGATACATACTGAAATGGATTGACTTTTGCCGTCAGTAGAAAATATTGTTAAAGTTTTTCTTTTTTTTTCCAGAAGTGGAGGGAAAAGGTAAACATAATTCTCATGCTTTCTCCGTCTTTGGGTTAACATGTGGAAATAACATAGCTCACTGGGGTGCATACATTTCATTTTTTTCTCTCTATGAAATTGATGGACTATTGCTGCAATATTGTTCCTGACTAATCTCTAATGCAGGGCTGTTATCATCTCTTTTTGATATATGCTCTTTCCCTTGCTTCTAGGCTACTACACTCTCCTAATTTTTCTTCCACTCCACAGGATGCCTCTTGTCAGCTTTGTTTTTGCCATTATCTTTCATTTTCTCTCTAAAAATCTTAGATTGTTCTGGTGCTTAATCCAGGGCCCTCTTTTCTAATTTACACTTCATTCCTGGACTACCTCCAGTCTATAGCTTTAATACCATTTATATGCTAAGAACTTCCAAACAGAAAGTACTTGAGGATGCACTCTGATAAGAAATGCATCAGTGGTCAAAGGAATAGGGAATCCACAAAATCGTAAATCAAAAGGCTTTCCTAACAGCAAGAAAAATGAAACTGCCTGCAAATCTGTGTAATAGGAACAGAACTAACAGGGGAACTCAAAAGGACCTTTTCATAAACTCAACAAATATTTTCTGAAAAACAGCTTCAACAGAACTAATGAGGAAAGGGATTTCTTTTCTTCTTTGTGGTCTCCATATATATTAACTCCTTTCATTTATCATACTTAGTAGGCAAAGATCTTTCTTTTATCCCAAAATATTGTGAAAGTGAAAGTGAAAATGTTAGTCGTTCAGTTGTGTCCGACCTTTTGTGATTCCACAGATTGTAGCCACCAGGCTTCTCTGTTCATGGAATTCTCCAGGCAAGAATACTGGACTGGGTTGCTGTTCCCTTCTTCAGGGGATCTTCCCCACCCAGAGATGGAATCTGTATCTGTCGTATTCCAGGCAGATTCTTTACCATCTGAGCCACCAGGGAAGCCCAAAATATGTTTGGAAGTATCCAAATACAATGAATGGATCCCAATATATGGGCTACTTAAAATGGTAAGATTGGCAGTAAGAGGTCTGACTGTGTAAACAAACAATCCTTTGCTTTACTATTTCAATGCTAATGTTTTCTAAAACAATATTGAAAAGTCTACTTAGAAAACAAAAAATAGAAATAGGCATTAAAAACTAAAAGTAAGCTCACCCCTGTACAATTTAGGTTGTATTGTTTAGTCACTAAATTGTGTCTGATTCTTTCATGACCCCATGGACTGTAGTCTGCCAGGCTCCTCTGTCCATGGGATTTCCCAGGCAAGAACACTGGAGTGGGTTGACATTTCCTTCTCCAGGGGAGTCTTCCTGACCCAGGGACCGAGCCCATGTCTCCTGCATTGGCAAGCATGTTCTTTACCACTGAGACACTGGGGAAGCCTTTGTGTAAAAACTACACGTACATGGTAAACATGCTAATCACTCAATCGTGTCTGACTCTTCGGTACCCCATGGACTATAGCTCATCATGCTCCTCTGTCCATGCAATTCTCCAGGCAAGAATACTGGAGTAGGTTGCCATTCTCTTCTCCAGAGGATAAGCCCACCCCAGGGATCGAACCCAGGTCTCTTGCATTGCAGGCAGATCTTTCCCTTCGGAGCCACCAGAGAGGCCCACATGATAGAGAAAAATATTCTAAAGCCTATGGGTAAAAGTTGAGCAAAATGCACCTTACCTTGCCATCTGCAGATGCTTTCTCCTAAGAATGATAAGAGTGACAAGCAGCAGTCCAATTAACAGTGTGCTGAGGATGGCCAGCACGGAGATGACCACCACGTTGGGATTCATCTCTGTAACTAAAGATAAAAGCCACACATCTTCAATGGAGCTTCCATGACATGGAAACTAATAGCACCGTTCATCATATCCCATCTAATCTAAAGACTGTTCGTCTTTAAAGACTCATGGCCACAGCAACAACAGAAACAAGGACATTTCTCTGAGTCAAGGATGGTTTCTTGCTGGTCAACTCTTACTTAGTAGAACAGATTGACAGTGTTTGGGTGGGTGGAAGAACTGAGTCCACTTCAAAGGCCCATGTTCAGGACATTCTTATTAAAGGAAACCGTGAAATGTATAGAATGCCTGTGCCATGATTTAAGTTCATTTGAAAACAAAAATGCTAGAAGTCATTATCATGTATCATCACTGTTTAACATTTTCAAAAGCTTAGAGAGAGGTAGGCTCTTATTTTATGTCCATGGCTTTCAAGTCAGAAAGCACAATTGTGTATTTCCCTCACATAATAATGTATATGAAAAAGGAATTAGCACCCTGCCATCTGCTGCAGCACTTAATGCATCGCCAGTAGCAGGCTTTCTGATGATCTGTAACCATGTTTGGAGGTTTTTCTATCTGCATAACTCAAGAGATTAAACTTATTAATACATTTAGGGCCTTTAAGAACAGGGCTTGTATCTCTTTCATCCACTAGGTCTCCTATGATCCATCCTTTAGTGTACTTACACATTGCCTAATTAACACACTACCCAGAAGATCAGGATGTTAAAGGTGTGAATATACATCACAGATTTTTGTAAAGCTCTTAAAAGCAGATCAGAGGAAAAGAGGAGACACCATCCTTGGCACTGATCATAGCATCACAGTACTGGCCAACCCACACAATCCCTGAGGCTTTGGGCATTTGCCACTTCCCATGTGGGCCAGCTTGGCTCCACTGTATAGACAGAAGTATTAGAACAGAAAGAATGTTAGACTCATAGAAGAGATTGTTCAAGTTTGCTTGACTATTGCCTTCCATTTGGGGAAGCTCTGATATCAGTCTTTCCTGGCCTCATTTTCCTCACTTGCAAATACATTTAATAATGTCACCTGTTTCACTGGGTTGCTGTACAGATGACAGGGAATCATGAACATTCAAGTGGTTTTAGAAAATGGAAAAGGGTGTTGAAATGAGAGACCATTAGTACGCTTTTCAGGTCCATTTTTGCTCTTTCTTCTGAAAAAGCAGAAACTAAAAACAGAAGAAAAAAGTTTCTTCTAGTGGCCACTGGATATAGTGGCTAAACATGATTAATGCTTACATACGTAAATGAAAATGAACCCATTAAAGGTGTGATGTGATGGTAAGAGTAGCTTTATTACAGGCAGCTTCAGGGAGGGTCTTAGATGACAGAATTAAGACTTAAGCAGAGGAATAAAACAAATAATATAACTCAGGAAAAGAAAAAGGAAACAACATTATACTGAATCTTTTGTTAATTTCTAATTTCCCCAATAATGCTTTCTACTTGACTGAAAATTTTTGGCTTTGGTCCAGTAATTTAGGTTCACCATTACTCAATCAGTGAGAGTGCAAGGTCAAGACTACAACAGATGCACCTGAGCTGCTTACAGTACTGTGGGTACCACTGAAGAGGGTGATGGGGATGATGAAGTTGATGATGAGAACAACTAGCATTTAGACAGCATGTACTAGAGCTTTAGGTTCTTGATTTCTGAGCCTCAAAACATGTCAACAGGTACATACTATCACTCCAGCTTTACAGATGAAAAAACAAAGCTTCAGAATAGTTATCATTCCCTAAATAATAATTATAATTATATAATAATTATCGTTCCCTATATCACATAACCAGTAAGCACAGTTTGGGATTGGAATTAAAGTTTACCTGAACTCAGAGCTTGAAACTTTTCAGGGAAATGTGAGTTTTCTTTTTTAAAAAAGATGAATTATATATATTTAAAAGGAAAAATTAAGGCAAATCAGGAAAGAAAGAATTTCCAAAGATACCAGATTTCGCTGGTGCCTGGACTTACCCATTGTGGAGATTGCTATGAATGTAGGGACACTGGGCCTGTCATGGCTAAAGCTGGTGACACTGCAGTTGTAGGCAGTGGCAGGAAGGAGGCTGGAGATGGTCACGACATGAGCGGAAACAGAAATTGGTTCCTGGAGGTGCAGAAGACAAGGTAAATGTTACGTTTTCTTCATCTAGTTTGGCTTTTAAATTACTTTTCATAATTGAGTAGGGAACATGTGGACAGAGTAGAAAAACTGAAAAAGCAAAAAAGGAAGCAATGAAAAATGTTTCCTTCTTTCGGCACTTCCCATCTACCCAATTACCTTTCATGGAAGCAGCCAGTGTTGTAAGGCAGTTTTTCTTTTTTTTTCTTTCCATCTGTATTTTATGGATGTATAAACATATAAGAATATAGTGATACCATAGTTTATGCATCATTCTACTTATTTTTATTTTGGTTATCAGTGTATTTTGGCACTCTTTCCACACCAGTACAGATAAAGCTATTTCACTTTAAGGGCTGCATAGAAATCCATTGAAAGAACATATTTTCTTTAGCCAGTCCTCTATTAATAAATGTTTAGGTGATCTGATTTTTTGTTGTTAGAAACAATTCAACAGTTTCATAATTAATGGGAACATATGCATATGTACACATACTCATTTTATATGTGCATATATATGTATATATATACACAAGGGCTTCCCTGGTGGCTCAGTGGCAAAGAATCCACCTGCCAAGCAGGAGACATGAGTTAGATCCCTGTGTTTGGAAGATCCTCCAGAGAAGGAAATGGCAACACACTCTAGTAGTCTTGCCTGGAAGTCCCATGGACAGAGGAGTCTGATGGGCTATAGTCCATGGGGTTGCAAAAGAGTGACTTACTGACTAAACAACAACAATATATACAAATATACATTCATACACAAAACCTGTGAATATATTTGTGTGTATATGTATATGTATGAATACTCATACATATACAGCACTCATATTCTTAGGAGTTGAACCGCTGGGTCAAAAAGTTATATCTTTTTAATTTTGAAAGGTATAGACAAATTATCTTCCATAGATATTTTCCAAGGGTCCCACCTACCGTCTGTGCATGACAATACCCATTTCCCTACATTTGTTTTTACACAACAAGCTGTATACATTTTGCAAATTTTTTGAACTTTTCCCATTTTATTAGTGGAAACTGTCCCTCACTGTAGTTTTATTTTGCATTTCTTTCACCATGAGTGAGCTTGGTCATCTTTTTATATGTTCAAGAGCCTTCTATGTTTATTTTCTATGAAATAGCTGTTTTGGGTTGCTGATCTTTATCTTTTTTATTTGTAGTAGATCTTTGAAAATTGGGCTTCCCTTGGGGCTCAGCTGGTAAAGAATCTGACTGCAATGTGGGAGACTTGGGTTTGATCCCTGGGTTGGGAAGATCCCCTGGAGAAATGAAAGCCTACCCACTCCAGTATTCTGGCCTGGAGAATTCCAAAGACTGTATAGTCCATGGGGAAGAGTTGGACACAACTGAGTGACTTTCACTTTTATATATTAAGAGTACTATCCCTTTTGTCTACATTCTCTGCTTTTAAATAGCATCCACCAAAGGCATCAAGACACTCTGTCCTCCAAAATGTTTAACATTAACTTATTCTTGAGTAAAAGTTGTTCATTTGGTGGGCCAATGGCCATCCACTGACAAGTACAACTGTACAATATAAAAAGATGAGCCAGCATAATATCCTTTTTCAAAACAAAGGTCAGAAACACCTCTATCTAAAGAGATGAGCGCCATCAGCAAGGATTTCACACTCTTACTTCTTTCACTATCCTATAAAAGAATGCTTCCGAGAAAAGATTTTTGCTAACAGGACTCAGTTGTATAAAGTAGCTGCCTGATCATCATTTTCTTAAAGGAAGACATTACTGTAGCTGCAGAGAACTAAATTCCCTATTGGCAGAGCAGCTTTTTTCCAAAAGGATTCTTGGGATCCAAAGGATTCAGCTGTTCAGTACAAATCAAAAAGAGATAACGTTTGTAGACCAGACTATCAAAAGGGGAGAGAAATCAAAGCAAATTATCTTTAACACTCAGTATAAAAAGATTCATACTGCTAGAAATCCTTTTTTCTTTTCAATCTCATGAGCTGCACTATTTAAAAAGCATCAATTATTTATGTTCATGGTATTCATCTTTGCACTGTATTTTGTGACATGCCTCAAAAATTTGTCCTTTTTCTTCCATGTCTGACTGTAATATAGTTTTTTCTTGTGGTTTTGTTACCCCAAGGCTCATCAGTCTCCTTCCATTCAATTTAACCTGGTGGATAACTCAGTATTCATCTTATCTGTTATTTGTAACTCTAAATCTTTAACACTCACCTATTTCAGCCTTCATTTTCCCAAATAAAATTATCCTCCTTCAGTTCAGTTCAGTTGCTCAGTCGTGTCCAACTCTTTGCAATCCCATGAATCGCAGCACACCAGGCCTCCCTGTCCATCACCAACTCCCCAGAGTCTACTCAAACTCATGTCCATCAAATCGGTGATGCCATCCTCCTTACTGATGTCTTTTAAATTCTCTTAGTAATATGGGTCTCACTTCTGGCACTTATACTTCATTTTAATTATTTCTACTCTAGTGTAATATCCACAATTAAATGAAAAAATAATTGAAGGTATTGATTATACCAGGCTTCCCGGGTAGCTCAGCTGGTAAAAAATTGCCTGCAGTGCAGGAGACCTCGATTCAATTCCTAGGCTGGGAAGTTCCTTTGGAGAAGGAATAGGTTACCCACTCCAGTGTTCTTGGGCTTTCCTGGTGGTCAGATGCTAAAGAATCTACCTGTAATGCGGGAGACCTGGGTTCAATTCCTGGGTCAGGAAGGTCCCCTGCAGGAGGCATGAAAACCCACTCCAGTCTTCTTGCCTGGAGAATCCCCATGGACAGACGAGCCTGAGGGCTACAAGTCCACGAGGTCACAAAGAGTCAGACATGCCTGAGCGGCTAAGCGCAGCAAAGCACCTTGATTATTCCAGGGCTTCCCTGGTGGCTCAGTGGTAACGGACCTGCCTGCCAATGCAGCAGACTCGTGTTCTATCCCTGGGTCAGGAAGATCCCCTGGGTCAGGAAGATCTCCTGGACGAGGGCTTGGCAACCCCCTCCACTATTCTTGCCTGGGAAATCCCATGGACAGAAGAGACTGGTGGGCTAAAGTGGGGTCGTAAAAGAGTCAGATACAACTTAGTGACTAAACAACAACAATATTGATTCTAACATTTGTGTCCCATACAATGTCTGCCACATAAATGCCAATTAGTTCATATGTGTTAAGTTATATTTTATACAGCAGTGTGTTTTTATACCTTACATCAATTTAATGGCCAACAGACAACCACCTCAATTTAACTCTCCAGCATGACCAGGAGTCGCTAAAAACTGGAGACAGGAAACTGATACAAAGGTGAAAATAAACTCTGTGATTTGACAAGTTAATTATAACATATTTGGGGCCCATTCTAAGATAATTTTCAATTTCTATCACTGGAACACAAAACCACACATGCAGAGTTCTCCTTTTATATCATTCAAAAAAAGATTTTCACTTTGCTCACATAATGAGCCTTAATCAAAATTAACTCAGAAAAGGAAAATCCGAACATACGGTACCTGGAGTTTTGCTTCCTGACTGGAGCCAACTTGCTGGCAGAAGACTTCGAAGAAATCAGCTACTCCCTCTTCCACCCACAGCAAAGTCACCGAGGTCTGGGTTTTATTCACTGCAAAGAGGGACTTTGGAGGAGCTGGTTCTGAGCAACGATAAGTTTTAAAACATTAATTTCATCTAATGTATCCTTCCTTCATTAATCAGAAGGATAAAATAGGTGAAAAAAATCCAAACACAGGTAGTTAAAAGCACCCTACAGATTTTTTATTGCTTTGTGAAATATGTCCTTTCACCAAGACTGTCGTCTAACTTGGAAGGCAGAATTTTTTTGCCTTTTTATCCTCTTTCATTTTATACTTCTCTTTTTGGGACACTTCTGTTTTTTACTTCAGCTTTATTATAGCCATAATCTATTAATAGTCTTTGCTGCAACTACAATGGAATCAGCACTGCCCACAGGTACAGAACTTTCTGGGTGACAAGTTGGTACTGAAAAGACGGAAAAATGAAAGTGATGTGCTCCCTTCTAATGGAGAGATCCAGTCTGGTGTCAAGGCCAAAAACCCGCCTTCCTTTCTCGAGAGATTATTTGGAATCATTTAGTCAGAGGAATGGCTTCCTGAAAATTTAGACAAAATTAGAGGGATAAAGCTAAAGAGATAACACAATTTTTTAAAGAAAAAGATTGATGGAAGAGGAGTTGATTATTGATAAAATTTTAGAGGACTGATTTTTTTTATCTTATTCGTTTAGGCAATCTTTTTAAAATATATTTATTTTTAATTGGAAGATAATTGCTTTAAAATGTTGTGTTGGTTTCTGCCACATATCAACATGAATCAGCCATAGGTATACATATGTTTCCTCCCTCTTGAACCTCCTTCCCACCTCCCACCCCATCCCATCCCTCTGGGTTATCACAGAGCACAGGGCTGAGCTCCTTGTATTAAACAGCAACTTCCCATTAACTATCTATTTTACATATGGTTATGTGTATATTTCAGTGCTATTCTCTCAGTTTTTCCCTGATAGCTCAGTTGGTAAAGAATCCTCCTGCAGTACAAGGGACCCCAGTTCTGTTTCTGGGTCAGAAAGATCCCCTGGAGAAGGGAAAGGCTACCCACTCCAGTACTCTGGCCTGGAGAATTCCTTGGACTGTATATAGTCCAAGAGTTGGACATGACTGAGCGACTTTCACTTCATCACTTCTGGTTCCTGCTGTGTCCGTAAGTCTGTTCTCTATGGACATTTAATCTTTTTATAAAAATAATTTCCTTTATTTATTTATTTAGACTGCACTGGGTCTTCACTGTGGCACATGGACAGTGCTTGGCCTTCAGTAGTTTGGTACATGGGCCTCGTTGCCTCATGGCATGTGGAATCCTCCCAGACCAGGGATCGAATCTGTGTTCCCTGCACTGCAGGCAGACTCTCAACCACTGGACCATCACGGAGTTCCCTAGACATTTAGTCTTGATCAATAAAGTAATCCACTAGTTAAGCAAACCATTCTGTTTGTGCCCTTTCATATACATTTCCAGTAATTGAGTCATTGGGCTTGCTGGCTTGATACCAGATGCCCATCTGTTCCCCAGTTCTGGGTGTTGGTCTGCTGTCTTGTTCACCTACTCCTGAACCTCTCCTGGTCCTCTGCCTATGCCCCTCTTCTCTGAGCACTGCCTTTCTCTCAAGTTCCTCCAGTACATAGAACGCTACGCCTGAATCCAAGTTCTCAAGCCAGGGTCCCTCTTACCTGCTTGTTTGGAAATGTCTAGCTGTCAGGTTCACGTAGTGGGTATGCCCATTAGCATGACAGGCATGACAGGCAACTATTTGCACTGTTTACTTGTCACTTGAATTTCTTTTCATTCTCTCTCCCACCCTCCCAAGTCTGTTCTAAGGCTCCTGGCATTTAGTGGGGCTTGAAAAAGCCCTAGAGGGCATTTTACTCAGAAACGATATGTCTTTGTTGGGGAAGGTCTGGGCCTTCTTTCTGGAATATCATCATCACGTCCAGAACCAAGAAGTTTGTCAGAATCCTTCTTGATGTGACCTATTGCAGTAGAGTAAGTTTGTGTCCAACTGTAAAAGAAGTATTTTTCCTTTCCAGAGGCAACCTGACAAGGCTGGGCAGAAGAGTTGAAGAAATAAAGTGATGAGTTGGTCTTGGGCAAGCATAATTCACAATAGATGTCAGGGCCCCTTTCTCGTTCGCCATGAGTCATTTACTCCTCTAAACATTGTACCATCTCACTTCCCCTCTGATGAAGAGAGTTGATGAAACACAGAGGTTTACTTCCACTTCTTATGTCCTTCATAATTGTCACTGCTCTTTGGATTATGAGTCAGAGACCAAATCCTCCAATGATTCTGACTCCTGTAGAACCTGAAAGGTTGGAAGCAAGTGTGAGGTTGTCTGAGGCAGAAACGGGTGATTTGTTAGGTTGAGCCTGGGTTATGTCTCTTTAAAAGATGCACACTACAGAATTGCTCCTCAGAGTGAGTTTCTTGGACAGTGATTAGAACACCTAAAATATCTATTTTTTCCTATTGGGTTGATAAATTCAGTTTGGCTATCTGATATGAATCAGCCCCTATGGCCTAATGGATAAGGCATTGGCCCCTTAAGCCAGGGACTGTGGGTTTGAGTCCCACCCGGGGAAGAAGGAGTTGTATTTTGGGCTTCCCTAATAGCTCAGTTGGTAAAGAATCTACCTGCAAGGCAGGAGATCCCAGTTTGATTTCTGGGTCAGGAAGATCCCCTGGAGAAGGGATAGGCCACCCACTCCAATATTCTTGGGCTTCCCTTGTATCACCTGATATGAACATTGTCCAGATCCTAATCCCCAAATCTGATTGATTTCCCATCTGTGTTTACTCAAGTATCTCATTATTAACCCCAAATTCCATAAGATTAAAATGGAACATGGAGTCCTTGCCTACCCACAAATCAATTCTGCTTTCCACCTCTCCCTGATACTCTCATCAACAACATCATTTCCTTTGTCTGAGCTGACAGTTTTGAGGCTTTCCTCTTCCTTTTTGCACTACTTTTTAATACTTCCTTTCATCTCTTCCTTTTGTTTATTTCCTTTATTATATTGCACACCCAGGCTTTTGCCATCACACTTGGCAATCATTACAACAGCCCTTTACTCCTTTCCCCTGCCTCTTACTTGATCCTTTGTTTTATCAATGATGGTTTAAATTGTTTAAAAACACCACTTCACTCTGGTTAGATTCTATCTGTACAATGATTTACTCTGATCAATTTCAAATGTGTCAAATCCAAATACAGTAAGTTCCCTACATATTCATCTTCAGGCTGCAAACTTTCAAAGATGTGAATGCATTCACATGTTCAATTATGTTGTTAGTGCATATGTCCGGCAATACATCGTCACATGTGTGCATCCTCTACAAGTGGTTGTGCTTTTGTGTACCTAACTGTAGAGTCCTGTATGGAGTGTAGTGGTATGGTATCTTTATAGATAGAATTGAATCCAGCAAGGAACCAGAACCCGGGCCATCAAAAACAGGTGTGAGTGAAACTTCAACTTGCCCTCTGTCTCCTATTGCTGACGATTCTTCAGCTCCACCATCTCCCATCTCCCACCTCCTCTCCTTCTCCAGCCAGTAACTCTTCCTGCCTCTATTATCAACCTATTACAGTACAGTACTGTATAGCTGAATGTGTTAGTTGGGTACCTAGGCTAACTTTGTTGAATTTACAAACATGCTCTTGGAATGGAACTCATTGTATGTAGGGAGCTTACTATATGCTAAGTTAAAGACCCTACATACTTTGGCCACCTGCTACCCGTCACCACCATCTTCCCCATACAGACATACTGTCCTCGTAAAGCCAGTCTTCTTGCTGACCATGACACAGGCATTATTCTTTCTCAACTCGTGTATTTCTCAACCCTTAATGTGTTCTTTCTGCTCTTCTGATCATCTTAGAGAAAAAGTCTTACCTTCTCCTTCAAGCCTTATCTGATGACTGTCTCTTGAGGCTCTGTCCCTTCTCTGACCTTCTCTCACCCTGAACTATTTCCTGTGTGATCTGTGTGAGTGAAGTCCTGATTCCACTGAGTCCTTTAAGAACTGCGGTCGTGTGTAATGAATTATTTTGTCTTCTTTTTGAACTAGCCATGTGTAGGGATGCAATAAATCTTACCTATTGACAGATTTAAAACCTAAGTCAAGATTCATTAACCAGAGGTGTTATGATTCAAGCATCAAGTAAGATCAGACATGTCAGCATTGAATTTTGACATTCTCTGCTTTTGTATGGTGATTATATTTGTAAAAAGTCATCAGCTCTCAGTGGCAGAGTGAAAGACTGTTGTGAATTAGAAGTATTTTTAGTGACCAAAGAAATAAGAGATACTGGAATACACATTTCCTCTGGTCTGGCTGAGAATGTGGATGCAGGTGATGAGTGGATCCTTAGGAAAATATCCAAAGGATCTGGAACCTCTAACAGCCAAGTAACAATTTCTTTTTTCCTCAGGTGGTATATGAGGCAATAGATTATTCCAAAATCACTGTACACATTATTTCTGCATCTTTTTCTGAAAGACAGCATGCATTTCAGTTCTGTAGGTCAATGAGAAATATTCACAAGTCACCTGTTTGAAAAGACTTACAATCTCTGTGGTAGGGATATTTTCCTAGATAGATTGGGGAGAAATTCCACCCTGCTATTCTGAAGAAAATAAAGAAAGTCATCACAATATTTCATAAGTTGAGGTATTTCATAAGTATAATTGGATTAGGAGTGACTACTAATTAAATTTCACTACTCAGGACAATAGCTGCTCTAGAGAAAGTGAAAGTCACTCAGTTGTGCCTGACTCTTTGTGACCCCATAACTATGGGGTCCACAAGTCCACGGAATTCTTCAGGCCTGAATACTGGAGTGGGTAGCCATTCCTTTCTCCAGGTGGCCATTCCTTTCTCCAGGGGATCTTCCAAACCCAGGGATTGAACCCAAGGCTCCTGCATTGCAGGTAGATTCTTAACCAGCTGAACCACAAGGGAAGCCTCATTTGCCCCAGGGGATGTGTTAAAATATTAGGACTGTATTGTGCTATACGGTAACTGCTAGCCACATGTGGCTACTGAATGCTTGAAATC